ATGCCACAAATTTTCCTAAATCACTCGTACGCACAACTTAAGAACAAATCTGTGCGTACAAACGGTTCTTGCATGAGGCCCACTGAATCTAATGTTGACACTCATCATAAGGGGTCTTTGGGCAACACTTTGTCTGATCCCTCACCTAGGATCTTCTTGCCTTGAGTGACCCTATCAGGGGCGTGAAGCCTCTGACAACATAGTTCCTGATCATTGGGACACTCAAACCTCTCCACCAAGATACGATGGCAGCCCAGGGAGAGGGAGACAAAAAACAAAGTGCCTTAAACAACTCCAATCTTCAAAGCTGCTTATAAAAATGTATTGTTTGTGCATTTGTCATAACTGATACTATGTCCTGACAATAGAATATGAGACAGATAATCTGTGAAAAAATACATTTCTCTTGGTCAGAAACAACCAATCAGAGCCAAGGAGACAGTGTCAGTCAYGCTGGTGTATGCCTGCTCCCGCCCTTCTCCAGAACAGCACTAGCCTTGTTCAAGCTCAAGACTGCTGCTGTGCTGCAGCTGTGCTAAGGGTGGAAAAACAATGGAACAGGAAAACTGTGGCTTTCTGAGAATTCTGAAGATGCCATAACAGTTTATCTGCCATCAATGGTGGCTCTGTAGCTTACCATCCTGCACGTTCACCTACAATGGTAGGCTTCTGAAAKACGTGCTTGTTCGAATTATCAGGCTAAGTCCACACTTTTGCCAGAACTCACTACTGCAGCTCATATAAATATCAGTTTTCAACAAACTCTACATCACTCTTGTATTGTGCTGTTCTTTGCATAGAATTTAAGTGGCTGCTTGTGTAAATAAAGACAGCTGTTAGCTGCAGCTCTTGTGCAGACTGGCTCACTTCCAGCATGCATGGTATAAAATAATATTTCTGTTGAAAAACCAGGATGAAGCCAAATTCTTTGAAGAAAAACGTGCAAATGCAGGGACAAAATGCAAATGTTTAAATCACAATCTGCTTAGACTAATCAATGCAAAGTGACAGACCAATGTTCTCRTGTGGACCTTTTATCACACTGTCTGCTCACAACATCCAAGCCTTGCAGGATAAATCTGGGCTGAGGGTGTTGCTTCCTCCGACCAATCAGAGAGCACGTGTCTATCTCTTTGCTTTCTGGCGTCATAAGAATGAAGAAAAAAAGATTAAAAGAGAAGAGAGCAAAGAGGGTTTGATGAGGACAAAGACAAAAATAGTCATGCTAGGGTCAAGTGGGGTAAAAAAGAGAAAAAAAAKAGAAAAATAGGATTAGAGGAAAGGAGGAAACATCATTCTGATGGATCAGTAAAAGCACACAATAAACAGCACACAGAAAATCATTGATAAAATCCTACAAAGAGGTCTTTTTCCATGCTGACTCAGAGATGAGGTAGTATGAAGGTTGTCGACAAAACACAATTTGGAAAATATCCACGTGCACATTTAGATGATGTCACTTGTTTCTTTCCCCTCTCACTGCTCTCTTATTTCACCAGGTCCCTTTTCTCTTCTCCTTTCTGTCATCTCCCATCTAAAATGACACATGGAATTGCTCCAAAATAATAAAAACAAGTGTTGGAAGGTAAACGTGTTAGAAAACACGAGCGTTCAAGAATCAGTACTGACAAAAGAATGTAGTTATTTATATTTTTGGACTCAGTCCAAGCTACATAAATAGCATCAGAATAATCCTGAGTCCTTCATTTGGRCATTTTTCATTTGTTTTCATAAACAGGAAGTATATATAAATAAATTGTTGAAGCTTTGTCTGAATGAGTGATGGGAATCTACTTGAAAGTGAGTCTTTGACGAGCCATGCAATGATGCACAAAGAAATATAAACGAGCTTCTTGTTGTTTTAAGTTATTTTCTGCTTCTGTAGTCCCAAAATTGTACAGATAGGAGGCTCTAAATTGTGCAAATGAGCTTTCTTTCAGCATAGATGCTTCAGTGAGACAGGATAATCTATTCTACACATGTTGCATCAGAGGACGCACACACACGCACACACACACAGCATGGATAGTGGATGAGTCATGTCTGCCAGCCTGCACTGTTACTGTGAGGGCTCCAGATTTAAGGGCCAGCAATCTGCATTCATCTCACAGATGTCCCCCCCACAACCCCCCTTGCCTCTGCCTTTCTCTGCCTCTCCACTCGTTTTCACTCTTGTCCTGTGTTTCCCTCACGCACAAACACACCAAAAGAGGCAGGGAAATATTGAGGGTGCTATGAAACTGACAACTGTCCACATCTTGCGCACCACAGTCCTTGACAGAAGCCAGGAGTTCAGCTCAAAGAACTGAAACTGAAGGTATGGAAGTGATTTTGGGATGTGTGTGGCTGGAGATGGGGTAGAACAGTATTCATAGACACACAGATACCACTGTGAGGGTCAGACAGAGCATGCMATTGAGCAACACAGTTAAAGGCGCACTAGACAATCCCAGTCAAAGTAGGACATCCGTCCCCACGAGGACACAATCGCAGCATCCTGCAGTGACATCATATGTGAGAGCGATGAGTGAGGAATGAGCATCCTTRGCAACGACACAACAGATGTTTATCCCGTCACCGTCATCCCTTTCAATTCCAGCTGATGTTCTTAACAAAATCGGGCCACTGAAAATGACAGTTCACCTCATATTCACACACAAAAATCAAAACAAYGTGAACCTTTTTGTATTTGACATTTTGGTTATTAATCGGAAAATTCTCCCGCTGATGGAAGCTCATTCCTAAATTTCAGCAAATTGCTATTTGAGGAATCTTTTACGCTTTAAAGTATTTGTACAAAGTAAAACTGAAACTGTAATGGAAGAGCTACATGTTGCAGCAGCTTCACACAGATTAAAAACAATGCTAGAGCCCTTTAAAAAGTGAGCTATTATAGAATTTTTAAGACAAATTCCTTATAGCTTTCTATATATTCTTGCATGAGGTTTCATCACGGCGTCAGAGAAGCACTTTCTCGATGACGAAGTGCCAAAAGAGTTCCCTTCTGGCAGGATTTTAAACACAAATTAATCAGATAATCATCTCTTGTCTTCTGTTTCAGCTGATTAACATTAAGTAACTCTCTCTTGTCTCTTTTTGTAACCCCCCCCCCCCCCACACACACACACACACACACACACCAGCACCAACGTTGGCAGTGATTTGTTGTTTCATTTGGAGATAATTTACTTCCGACACCTTTTTGATAGTTTCTTTTTTTATTCTTTACCTCCTCTGTCAAACAGCTGGGAGCATCGCACACACGGCCATACTTGTAGACATGGGCTTGTTTTCTCACTGACTAAACACAAGCTAGCTGATAAGAAAGCYAGGAAACTAGCATGAACTGTTTGCTTGTTCAGCTGCTCGCTTCATGTTCAGGGATCATTTAGTCTTTGAATCAAGGGTTATGAACGACAAGAACCCAAACTTTAGCTGAATAGCTGCAAAAATATAGCTAYTGTTTGTGTTGACTATGGTTATTTTGCTGAATTGAATAAAGTTGACAAATTAAAAACTGATCAGTTGATTATTTCTAATAGTTTCAATAAAATATGTCAGTGATTCATTAGATATTTTGCTAACAGATAAAAGGTAACCCAAGCAGTTGATTCCAAAGTGTCTTTAGTGAAGATGTGACTCCAAACATGAATCAGATGTAAATGGGCATTTTCTTTAAGAGTTTTATTCACTTGTTTTTGAGCTATTTTATCAACACCACATACACACAAGACAAACACAATCAACAAAATCATTAATATGAGGTGACAATCATATAAAAACAGTAATTTCTAGCTGCAGTGTTGTGAATGAAGGAACGTTTATTCTGCAGCAAAAGTAAAATGTCGCCAAACGTTTTTTTTTTTTCAAGAAAATGTTTAACGACTTTTGTGTGAGGAGGTGAGTCAAAACACTATTAAACACCTTTTGAGTGTGTGTGAGAGAGAGAAAGAGAGAAAGAGAGAGTCTGTGTGAGTGAGTGTGCTCTCCCTCACCCTCTCTCAGTGTGTGCGTGTGCGCTGCGCATACAGGTAATAAGCTGCTCCCCACTGCGCAACGATGGAGCTATCACAGCGATGGAGATGACGCAAACACAGGCAGTTCTACGAAAAAGTGTTTCAAGACGAACATGGCGGCAACTTAGCCGAGGTCCAAGATGACAGCGGCCACCAGGAGAACCATTTCCAGGCTTTCCGCCCAGAGACGGGAACCGCTCGCGTCGGAGGGGCTCACAGCTCGCCTTTAAAAGAGAATCGCGCAGCATCAGCACCGACCGACCGAGAGAGGCTCGCAACAGCTGGTCTCCCTGCATCACCAGCCCCCCGAACCCCCCCACCCCCTGCACATAAGCCCCGGAGTGGGACGTGAAGGAGAAGCAGGGGGGTGGGGGGTGGGGGGGATATGCGGTCAAAGAGGACGCAGTTTTCTCCCGGAGAGCCATGGAGAGCCGGGATGCGGCAGCGCAAAGTTGAATCTGTGCGGGCGCGCTAATTGGATCGGAATAACAGCGCCGGTCGCTGCGGGCGCCCTGTACCGGCGGAGGAGGCACGGCACCCCCCCTGCTCACCATCAACACAGACAGGAGAAGCAACCCCAACCCCCCCACCCCCCCCTGCGCCGACAAGTCAATGAGTATTGTGGCAGAGCAGCCCCCGCGGTGGAGTCGGCCAGGCCAGCACTCTCTCCCTAAAATATGACCAGGGGTGCTCGGATGCAGCATGACGGAGGCTTGAAACCCCGGTTCGCACCCCGAGAGGACGAGAAGCCATTCACGGAGCCGGAGCGGGCCCAGAGATGGCGACTGTCGCTGGCCTCTCTGCTCTTCATCACCGTCCTCCTCTCTGATCACCTGTGGTTCTGCGCCGAGGCCAAACTGACGCGAACCCGAGACAAGCGGTCCGACGCGCGGCTCGCCGTCACGGGCACGATGATGGTGGGCGAGGAGCCCCTCCATCGACACCGAACCCCAACACTAGCTGACCCCCAGCGCCTCGCCAGAGAGCAAGATGCTATTTTTATAGGGAATTCTACCGAACCTCTGTGGCGAATGGACACCTGTCACCCGGACAGCCTGTCCAGGGACTGTTTCACGTTCACGGACGCGTTGACCGTGTGCCTGGGCCTCTCTGGAGGAGGGGAAGAGGGGACACCGTCGGCGTACGTGAATCTGAGCGATTTGTACCTTTCTTTTTGTAATTCCTACTCACTTTTGGATTTGTTTTACGGGTTTACAAGTCCGGACGTGGCGAACTGCAGCCTGGATACGGCCACGGGGCTGGATGTGCTGGGATGCAGGGAGTGCGTCCAGGCTTATCAGCGTCTCGATCGGCAGGCGGAGGACAACTACCGGGAGTTTGAGCTGCTGGTGGAGAAATACGAGACGGACGTCTACTCGGTCAGGACGTGTATGGAGGAGTGCAAGGTAAGGGGGGGGACCGAAGTGGGGGGGGGGGGTCAGGGCTCGCACACGGTTACGCACGTGCGTACGACAAGGAGGCCGGTTGTCATGGCAACCACCGGGCAATATCTGCACGTTATGCGAGTTCAGGTTGGAGCATCATCTGCACCTCACATCTGCAGAGATGTGCAGGCTGAGACAACGTTTTTATTCCATAAAGTTTGCAGCACCGTGCAAAAGTTTTCAGCCATATTTTCTTTATTTTGCACCCTTAGTGTATGTTTTCATTGCRGTGCCTTTAAAGTGGTATTCATCAGCAATTTTCCAAGCTTTCTGATTGCTTTTTCATGTGTATTTAGTCCACTCAGAGAAATACATGTTGGTGAAGACACATATTGAACCTGCAAACCCAAAACCTAAATGCAACAAAATAAACAAAAACAAATAATTTCACAAAGAACCTATTTTAAACTGGATTCATTAATGTTTAGTTTAGTTTGTCTCTGTTTAAAAAAAAAGATGTTTGACAACAAACTGCTTAAACATGGTGTTAGCTGAGAACTTGTCCTCCAATAGACAATCGTTTGAAAGTTGATGCAAATCTCATGACCTGCAAGTATCTGCTGCTTTCGTCCCTGTTTCTTAGGAAACATGACTTTCAGATCCCACCAGTCTAGTATAGATACTTTTTTTTGTTTCTTTTTTTGCTTCACTTGTCTGCTTCTCTGTTTTTTGAAGCAGTCGCTGCATAATACATGCCTGAAAATGATCAAGTTCAAGAACTAAAAGTGAGTAACTACAGCAGCCAAAGGAAAAAAAAATATACAGTATCTTAAGAAAGCCAGAGGAAACACTGATCAAGATCACAACGGTTATTGAAAGCAATAAAAAATAACATTACAAGTGAGTTCAAACTTCTGCACCTCTTCTTGTTTTTGAACCTTTAGCCTTTGTATAAGTCTTGTTCATACTGCTGAGTAAATTAGGTTTGAGGAAGTGACGTTTGTTGTATGRAGTTTGATTCAGGCTGCTTCATCACAGCTTTAAAGGATGAGAACAGAGAGAGAATCAGGGCAGACTGGTTCACATTTTAATATGGATAATAGCTCTCCAGTCATTTATGTGCCTAATCCAGGCTTTTCTCTGTCCCCAGTTCACTTGTTGGTTACTGTTAAGCACATGCAGCATGCCTGCCTTTTCACCTACACACGCACTGACCGAGATGTGAGCTCTTGTGTTAGGTATGTTGTCAAAGCTCACTCTGCTGGACCAAACTATAAAACGCTGTAAAAAAAAAAGCCAGGCATGAAACACTGGATGAAATTATTCTTTCTTTTGCAGTAATTTACTGCAGAGACTTGCCTCTCCTTGCTGGAGCTGTCCATGGTGCTGAAAGACCTTGGATGGAGGCAAAAAACTATGAAACTAGGGGATATGCGTTTAAAATAGTTTATTTTCYAGTTATTATGGTTATTCATGTGATTAAAAATGAAGATCAAGGTCAACTAACAACCTTGATCTTCAAATCAGTTTGTCAAGTTTACTTGTTCAAATCTAATCTTTGGTGGGCTTTTTTAATGCTCAGAATTTAGAGCGAATGACAGAAAACGTAAATGTTTGAGGGAGTCAGAGAGAAAAATCAGGCTTRAACCTTAGAAGGCATGGGGATTTCCAATCCTTTAGATCTTCTGTCATAACCACCCTTCGACGACTAATTCCTGTAGGAGAAACATTGTTGAGGGCAGACAGTCGTGGTGTTCTGTTTGGCTCTGACTGCTGGTAATCTGTGTTTGAGCTGGAGTGGAGGTGGGTGGATACACGAAGGATGAACTTTCACAAAGAAATCAGATTCTGCATGGTGTTAGCCTTGTGTCATTGTGTTTTTTCCTAGTGATTGCAGCATGCACGCCACATGTGCACGGCACTACTTTCTACATCAGCTAGGCACGGTTTACGTCTTTATCATGCCATCTGAGCTGTTTGCTCTTCCACTCTAACTCCTTGCTAAGGTAATAACACTCAGGCAGGTTTACATGAGACTTTTAGGCTCTTTAGCTTGTTCTGAAATACTAATCTGCCTCCCTGTTTGGGTGACCTTTTTGCAAAACAAAAAACCTCAGGCCCAAATGTTTTTATTTATTTATATTTTCTTGAAGAATCACTCTGTGGGGCAATTAAAAGATATATGAGGCATCTAAAAACAGCAGTTATGTCCTTCGTGTCTTTTCCCTCTTGTTAAATAGCTCAACCACAAATGAAATGGTGTTGGAAAATTTGTCTTTTTAATTACTATTTGAGTGAAATGTGTGATATAACTAAACTGACATCAGTTTGAAATAATCACATTTTACAAAATGCAAAAAAAGGAACTGCGGAAATGACTTTTTATCTAGGCAATAATATGCAGTAACTGTGTTTGCAACTATCTTTCATGCATAAAATAGATGCAACTCGCCCACAGTCTCCTTTGAGCAAATATGAACTGTGAGTTCACATCACGCCAGCTCTGTTTACTGTCTAAAARAATCAGGTAGTTTAGCAGTTATTCCAGGTTAAAAACAGACACTGAAATAACAAAGTCACAAAGAGGTGCTGCAGTAGAGAAACAACAACAAAGATGACATTTAGGAACGTTAGGGAATTTAATACAGCCAAACCGAAGAAAGAAAAGCTAAATGATGATTTTGTAGCAAAGGCAAAATAATATCTGCTAAACAGTTTTATAAATTACCTCCATGAGGGTCAGATGAGACTTGCTCAATAAACAAACATATAACATGTGTGACTCATACTTGCAGCTTTGTCAACCCCTTAAGAAAATCTTAAGGGGTTGTTCTGAAATCATCAAAGTTCATGAAGGCCAAATCAACAAGACATCTGTAGCAGGTTTAGCTCTCAGCAGATCAGTTTTTACAGAGCCTGGGAACTGGGTGACGTTGGAAACCCCTGTAAGTTGAAATAGCAYGACCTCTTCAAAGGTCATTGTAAGAAAATGCTTTTTCATAACTTATTTTCTAGAAGAACATCAGAAATACAATAAACCAACATGAACTATACCAGGCTGTACAGGAAGTGCTACAGCTAGCAGCTGCTTCTTCAAATGTAGCAGATGCTTCTCTGGTTTGTCTGATCAAGGATATATATATATATA